ATAGTAAGCACAATAAATGCTTTTCCATTCCATTCAATAAAATAGACAATTTTCATTATATTAAAAAACCCCTTTTACACCAGTATAATCAATGAAGGCATGATTAGAAGAGGAGTAGTAGAGTGAAACAAATAAAAATCTTATATCCAAAATATGTAGAGAATTGGCACAACTTTATAATCCAATAGGGAAATTAACATGTTTCAAAAGATTAGCAAATAGTAAATGATCACAGTAAAATATGCTTCAAATTACTAATTGTAAGTAAATTGAATATTAAACATTAGTGAAGATTCACCTCACTCAGTGCCAATTATCAAAGATAAAAAAGGAGGAAAACAGTTAATGTTGAAGTGGATAAGGAGTCACGTGCTGGTGGTAAAGCTGTGAAGTGATCCAAATGTTCTCTTCAAGAATTCTTTCTGATCATCTTGTGGCCAGATAAAAAGTTGTTAAATTGTTCATTCTCCTTGTCCCAACTATCTCACTACTGGGCATATACTTGATAGGAGTCAAATATAGAAACAAATATCCAGTGTGTAGAAAAATATTCATTGTTTTGTGGAAGTAAAGTACTTGAAATAAAGGAAGAGTCCATTAATAGAGGAATGGCTGAAAAAATTAGAGTATAAGAATGTAATAGAATATTTTTATGCAATAAGAAATGATGACTATGAAGAATTCAGAGAAATATGGGAAGATTTCTATGAACTGATACAGAAAGGAATGGTACAGTAGAAAGAATGAGAGATTTTGGAGTCAGGAGACATAGGTTCAAATCCTAATTTTTCATTATATTGGTCACCTCTATGATTTTGGTCAAGTCACTCAACCTTAATTTCCTCATCCACCAGATTACCTCTAAGATCTCTTCCTATGATCTTATGGTCTTTTGAAATAAGTAAAATTAAGAGAGCAATATATACAATGTGGACAAAAAATGTAAATTTAAAAATCACTGAAAGGAATCAGAGCTCTTCCTAATGGAAAAGCCAATGAAGGTACCAGACAAGAGGGAACAAAACACACCTCATTCCTCATTGCAAAAAGGTTGGGGATTACTAGAACACAACACTGTATACATTGTTTGACAAAAATTTTCCACGTCAAGTGTTTCCACTTAATTGTTTCTCTTTGTACAAAGGGAGAATTCAGTTTGGGAGCTGGGACAGACAATGTCTGTGATGTTGAAACAAGATATATCAATAAAAACTAGTTTGTTTAAAGAAGAAAAAAAGAACAAATCAAGCATTTTCCACATAACGAGGGTGCACACTCTCTCAATAAATATGCTATCAATGGGAATAGTGCTTGTACACAGGGACCATGCACAGGGATATACATGTAAGGAAAACACATGATTAGTGTTTTCATCTATATGGATGAAGGAGTATCTCATTTCTGATGATATAGGGTTGTTGCAGTCCTCTGGTGATATCTTCTCATTTTTCTGTGAAGTTCTCTGTTGTACATCATGTCTCTGCTATCGCTTGGGCACACAGATAATAAGTAAGATAAGATACTTAGTTATTAACTTTGTGACCCTGGGCAAGTCACTTAACCTCTCTCTGCTTCAGTTTCCTCATCTATAAGGTAGGCATAATAATAATACATAATTCACAGGGTTGATATCAGGATCAAATGAAATAACATATGTAAATAACTTTGCAAGCCTTAGAGTGCTAGCTATAATTCTTTTTGTTATTATGAAAAGGGTAGGCTGATAGAAGTAGAGAGGGTAGATCTAGAAATATAGCTAGTGAGAAGTCACCAGACCCAACTAATGGAATGGCCCTCAGAAAACTTTAACTCTCTGATATAGGGTTAGAAATTTCAAGATCCTCTCCAGGATGCCATACAAATAAATTTGAATTCTGGGAAGATGATACAGTAGTACAGAAATTTCCTGGCCCTCCAGATTTCCTCCACAAACAGACAAAAAATTGCCATGAAATGAATGTAGAGCAGCACAAATAAAGGAGTAAAGCAGTTGTCCTACAGAGAAGACTCCAGGGGCTGAGGTTTGGTCTGAATGAGGGGTAAACACCTCCAGGCCCTGAATCAACAAACAGTAGGCCCTAAGGGAAACAGAGTAGGCCTCAAGAAATTTCACCCCAGGAACTTTCATCTAAGGAACAGCAGGCACTGAGTGAGGAAGATTGAAGGACTCCTCTGCTGTTTCTAGAAGTGCTAACCAGACATGATCATGGGCTGTGGCTGTGGGCAAGGAGGAGTGAGCACAAGTCCAGTTAGTGTGATACCACAGGGAGCAAGAACTTTTTCAGGACAGCATGGCTGGGGCATAGGGGAAGAAGAAGGCCTGGGATTATATCCATTGTGCCACCTAGCTGCCTAAAAATCTTTCAGGGACATCTCTCAGACTGATAATTTCCAAAGCTAGCAGAAAGGTAGAAGCAAGATAATAAAAGAAGCTCAGAGCCTGGCCATCCTGGGCCCCTCCTTGGGGAGGGACTCCTCTAAAGAGAAGGGAGCAAGAGCCTAGATGTAGGGTCCCTGGGGCCTGATATATCCTCCTATCTAATAGGGATATATAAGTACCTTTTTGTTGTTGTTCAGTCATTTCAGTTGTTTCTGACCTTTCATGATCCCATTTGAGGTCTTCTTGGCAAAGATACTGGCATGGTTTGCTATTTCCTTCTCCAGCTCATTTTACAGATGAGGAACTGAGGCAAACAGGGTAAAGTGACTTGCCCAGGGTCACACAGCCAATAAGTGTCTGAGGCTGGACTTGAACTCAGGAAGGTGTATGGTACTCTATCCACAGTGCCACCTAGCTGCCTCATGATCTAGGACTTGGCCAAAAGTCAAATGACCAGGACAGAAACTGTGGGACCAGGGGTCAGCCTATAGCTCTTTTGTTTTGAAACCATAGTGCTTTCCAACTTGCTGGTAGAGTCTGGGACAAACAACTGTCTGCTTGGGCTCCACCTTAGGGCAAGTCTATAGTTCTGCTGCTTAGATCCAATCAGAGTATTCGGCTCAGGACTTCTAAGGAGGTTAAATCATCCCCTAAATCAAACCAGTTAGGGCCCTCTGAAATATTGCAGCTCCCTGGCATGAGCCATCTCTGTGATCCTTAAAGATCAGAGCAGGCATTGACTAAAGAATATAGCAGCAGGGCCCCAGATGATACAGGTCGGGACTATACAAGACCCCAATATTCTCTCTAGAAATATACAAAGCCTAGTCCTAAGACAAAGTCCAAATTTGGAAAGTAATCCTGAATAAAAATGGTAATAATAATGGTGGTGGTGGTGGTGGTGATAGCTAGCATTTATACAGTGCTTTAAGGTTGGCAAAGTGCTTCACAAATATCTCTTTTTTAATCTTCTCAACAACCCCGGGAAGAAAGCACTATTATTATCCAAATTTTATAGATGAGGAAACTGGGGCAGATAATAGTTAAGTGACTTGCCCAGAGTCACACACCTACTAAGTGTATGAATCCATAATTTGAACTCAAGTCTTCTTTACTTCAAGTTTGAGACTCTATACACCAAGGTGGCATGATAGCTATCTTCAACTATCTAGAAGAATCAAAACAAAGAAAGAAAAACATAGTCCAATATTTTTAATGAACATTGATGAAAAAAATTTAATATAAAGTATCAGCAATATTAGGCAATAGCAACATTTCACAAAGATTATGCACTATGACCAGGTTGAATTTATACCAGGTATGTACGGTTGGTTCAATAGAGTAATAGGAAAACTATAAATATAACATGCCAAATCAATCATAAGAAAAAGAAAAATCATACAATGTAGAAAAAGCTTTGGACAGAATACAACATGCATTTTTGCTTTAAATTTTTTTTTAAAGAATAAGTGGGCTTTTCCTTAATATTATCAGTAGCATTTATCTACTTACTACTTCTACTATTAAAACCAACAGCTAGCATTAAAGAAAATGGAGAAAAAACTTGGGGGCTATCAATAAATCAAGGGTGAAGCAAGGGTGGCTATTATCACCATTACTATTTGATACACTGTTAGATGCTTCTTAATTTAAAAAAGCTTAAAGTTATATTGAAGTACAATTTATTATTAATTATTATTATTATTTGACTTAGGAGGATAGATGTCCAAATCACCAGGATGGGATTCTATGAGACACTTTTCTCCATCTGGCCCCAATGATTTTTCTATTCTGATACTAAATACTCTCCCAGACAGAGATTGAGCAACAGTTCTGCATTAGGTGGAGAGAGCATTCCTGGTCAGGATATTAGATCTTGCTCATTAGCAACAGTTACTTGGTTTCTGTAGGGATCCCTTCCTACATCCCTGACTGGGCTGGCTTTGCTCTCCCAGGAGCCCAGTGGGGAAAGAAAAGATAGAGTGGTTGAAGTCATAGGCTGGTATCTATGTGCTTAACCCAGTGACTGGTTTTTCTATAAAATTATCAAAACTGAAATGGTTCATTAGCCTCCCTAATTTTATACATGGGAAAACTGAGGTCCAGAAAAAAGAACTTGCTAGTCAGAGCCAGGACTAAGGGTCTGGAAAATAGTAATCACTCTTTCCTGTAACAAGCAATTATTAAATGCCAGCTAGAACCAAGCACTGAATTAAGCACGGAGCTTACAAAGACCAAAATGAAAGAATCCTTGCCTTCAAAGAGCTTGTCTTCTATTGGAGTGAGATGATATGCATACAACATGGCCTCTCTTTTCTCTGGAAGGAATGAGAGCTACAATTTAGACCAAAGTGACCAAAGTGAGAGACACCTGATGAGTAGATTGAGTCATAGACTTTGAGACCTGGGAAAATATAGATTGTAAGTGCTTCAGTGATCCTTAGAATATAATCTGTCAGAGGGAGAGGAATTTTAAAACATAGAGCATAGAATGTCAGAACTGGAAGAAAACCTAGGACAGAAAAAAATAAAATTCTATAAATATCTAATCCAGGAGGAGGAGGGGAAGCAGTAGGAGGAGGCATAGGGAGAGGAGGAAAGGGTGGAGATGTGGGAGGAGGAAGAGGAGGAGGAGCCACCAGCAGTAGAGAAGAGTGGAAGGTGGGTGGGTACTGCGCTGAGCACAGAAGTCTGAGACCGAGGCTGCCACAGCCTAAGCAGGTCAGGGAGAGAAAGAAGGCTTGAGGCCGCAGCTGAAGTGGGGCAGGAAAGAGAAGGGAGCTGAGGCCCAGGCGGAGTGTGCACAGCTGCCTTTGAAGATGGAGGTCATGGGTGGACAGGCCCCTGCTGGGCCTGGAGGTCTGGCAGCCGTAAACATGGGGCCTGAAGCCCTCATCCTAGCTGTGGCAGTGGCTGGAGCTGGAGGGGGGCCGTCGCCTACGACCGGGAGCGGATCGAGCCCAGAGACCGATACATGGACATGGACATGGACTTGGAAGGGGGAGTGGTCAGGGCAGGATATAGCACTAGGCCCCACGTTGGCCGCTCTGTTGCTGCTGTACGCTGCATTGTGGGCTAGTGTGGTAGAGCTGAGATGGAGGGTCCTGGATCTGGCTCAGCAGCAGGAAGAAGAACCAGACCAAGAGGCAGGGGCAGAGGAAAGGGCAGAGACAAGGGCAGAGGCAGAGGCAGGGGCGGAAGCAAAGCAGGTGCAGGAGCGGGAGACTGAGCAGGAGTCGGAGCTCAAACATGAGCGAGATGCAGCGCCCGAGATAGAGACGGAGTCAGAGGCCGAGGCAGAGGCAGAGGTAGAGGCAGAAGCAGAGCTGGAGGAGCTCCGGGAGCCTTCGGGTGCTTGGGGCCCAAAGGAGCCTGCATCTTTATGTGAGATCGGGCCCTGGACCAATGTGCCTGTACTGGGGATGTGTGCCCGCCCTGTAAGACTAGCGGCTGTAGTGGTTGCTGTCCGCTCGGGTCTGGTGCTGAAAATGACGACATTGGACGCAAGAGCAAGGGGTTTGCTGCTGTCCCGCTCACAGCAAGTGATCCTGGATGAGGGCAGCTTTCGTTCCCTGCGTCCTTTGAGAGTGGATTTGGTCCGCATGAACAGGTGCTGGAACAATGGACGCTTCTTCCCTCGGCTAGGAGCCTTCCAAGAGCACCTGCTTAACCTACTGGAGTGGGAGGCCCGCCAAGCAAGGACCAACATTCTCGTCTTCCTGGACAACAAGGTGAGTGTATCATTTGGGTGGGCCAGTCTCTGGGGCTGTCTTAGCCACCCATAAAGTGGTCCCAGGAGTCTATAACTAATTGGTCCTCACCAGCCACATTGTAGCAGGCCCACAAGGCTGACATCCAGTATCTGCCTGGGCATGAAGATGAGGATGATGAGGACAAAATTAAGTTGGGGAGGTGCAGGATGAAAGACTGTAAGTCACTCAAAATAGTATGCATTATCCACTGACCTCTTTGTCTTCCTGGACACCAAAGTGAGAGAACTGGTATTGAAGACCAGTGACCTCAGGGATTTGTATGTGAGCCATTCACAGAGACAGTGAATAACTGTCTTCCACCTCATGCCCCACCCCCTAACTGCAGAGGGTAGGGTAGAGACGTTACCATGGAATCCTAGCACCTATTTGTTAGACACTCACAGAATGGGCCACAAAATATTTTGAATTAAAATAACTCTACATCATTACATCTACATCAGTAGATCTTCACAACTTGTGCAGATAACACAAGTGTTATGCCCATTATATAGAGGCTTAGATCCCTCCAGGGCTCTTATCACAGAGATCATGATAGAAAGACGATGAGGGGTCCCCAAAGCCTCTGAGTTGTCCCCTAGTAGTGATCCAAGTCCTCCCACTCCCTGCTGGCCCCTTTCAGGGTTATGAAAGATCATCTGTATTATTTTATTGTAATAAGCCCTATTAGAAACCCCCAAACCTTTTATGAAATTTGGAAATACTTTTTTTTCATATTTGGTTTTCCTTTCATTAGTATTTGCCTTCACAGAATTTTTACCTCCAACATCCCCAACTTACATGAGGCTCTATATTTCAGGAATGGAGACTCCCAAAATTTAAATCCCAATCCTCCTTTGAAGGAGAAAAAGATTCTTTCTAATGTACAAAATGCACCTTTTTTTTGCCCACAGCCCTAACTCAATGTACAGGATAAAAAAGGAAATTATTTTTTTCTGATATACTATATTGGTCCAAATACGGGCCACAATCTCTTTCCCCAACTCCGAAAAAAATCTGGCTTTTATAAAACTTCAGTGTAATCTATTATCATCTGCATCACTAAAAAAACAAGCACATTAAAAATGAATAAAATGTTTATTTGAATTGTGAGAAACAGAAAAAAGCTTTCAGCATAACTTTTTCATATAGTAATTTTGGGTAGAATTTGACAGAGTTTGTTCTCTTCTGGCACAGCATTTGAAAATTCAAGTCATCTCCATAACATGATGAGGCCTCAGAGAAGAAATTTTGTGTAATTATTTTTCAGTGCATATTTATAAACTTTTTTCACCAAAATAAATCCTTCAAAACTTTGCTGAGCATTTACTATATGACAGGCCTTATGGATGGTACTGTTGATACAAAAATTAAAATCAACAGTCCTTGATCTAAAGGTGCATATATTATAATCATCCTTCCAGAGATATGTAATGATATTATAACATTTTATTATGTTAATTATAGCTTACTTTATGTGGTGCTTTACATCCATCATCTTATTTAAATTTCACAACAATCCTATGAGGTTGTTGTATATTATCCCCATTTTACAAAAGTGGAGAAAGACTTACATATGTTAAATCATTTGCCTGTGGTCACACAACTGGTAAATGGCAGAGCAAGACTTGAATGCAGGTTTTCTGATTAAAATAATCTTTCCACTGATACCACAGCTACCTACCATTTTCAGAGAGAAGACTATGTTCAATTATATTCAAGATAAAAAATACTAGGGAATTGATGAATTTTAGATTTTAAAAAAAATCACAAAATGTGTTTCCCTTGGACACATGCAGGAATTTTTATTGATCTAGCATAGTTATGATTGGGTGGGTCACAGAGTATGGTTGATTAATAGGCCTTGTCTTTTTCTTAAACAGAAACATTTAGTTTGGAGATGAAGAGGCTTATTGAAGGAACATGATAGCTATCTTAAAATATTTGAAGGATTGTCACGAAGAAGGGATTGGATTGGTTCTGCTCAATCCCAGATGACAGAACTCAGATGAACAGCTAAGAGGTAGCATGGCATATTGAAAGGATCATTGGATTTTGAATGAGGACATGAGTTCAAATCTTGGCTCTTATTCATAACCTTGGGCCAGTAAAGTCTCTCTAGGTTTTATCTTTCTTGTCTGTAAAGTGAAGAAGCTAGATGAAATCAGACTAAAGTATCTTTCAACTCTAAGTCCTATAATTCCTTATGTAAATTGCAAGAAGGAGATTTTGGCTTGTTGTAAGTATAATCTTAATGATAGAGCTCTCCAAACATGAATAGAAGATAGTAGGTTCTTGCTACCTAGATATATTCAAATGGAAACTGGATAGATACTTGTTCGTGATGGTTTAAAGAGGGTTTCTGTTGAGGTGCAGGTTGGACTCTATGCCCTGGAATAACGGAAAATCATTATATTTATTAAAACAAAATAAACCTTAACATCTTAAAATCCCTTTCTAATATGAAATATGTCTTCCTCTTGCTGCAATCACTTGTCTAAGTGATTCAGCTTTGGAGTTCACAAGATGTTGATACATATTCTTTCACTGAATCTTTATTGCATTTGATATTATACCTTTGATGAACTATCCATTTCCCCCTATCTAGCCTTGATTTTATTCCACAAGTTTTTAGTGATAGTTCAATCAAGTGAGTTCCTACACTGTTGATACATGGTTTTCTCTACCTCCTTAACCTTTTATGACATGTGCAAAAGTATAAGGCCTATATAGTACAGTGTATAGTATTCCATCTTCATTTGGGAATTTCTGTGATTCCAGAATAATTCTGCTTCTTTATGTATTATCATATTTGGTAGTATGCTGTAGCATTTAGAAAATCAGACTCAGAGCCTGGAAAACCTAGGTTTAAGTCTCACCTCTGACACATACTGGTTTATGACACTAGGTGAGTAAGTCACTTAGCCTTTCAGTGTTGTAGGCAAGACTAATTGAAAAAAAAATAGAGGCAACTTGGTTGGGGAATTTTAGGGTTTAGGGAATTTCTCATCCCGAGTTCTTTTTACTGATGAAATCATGAGTCATGTCTCTATCCCCCATAATCTTCTAGAATTCTAGCCCAGTAGAATTTTTTAAATCTTCCCCCAAAAATGAGAGTGGATGTTTTAATGTCTGGTAAAGATGCCCAGATCTTACAGAATCATTTAGACTTCTGACGATGATTTTGTTGTGGCCTTGAGTGAAAAAGTGAATTTTAATAGTAAAAATTACCTTTCTACAGGCTTCAGCACTCCAGTATTTGTTTTGTTTTGTCCATGACATGCATGTTTTCTTCATGAGAATAATTAGCTGACTTTTAAAACTACTCTTCTCACTGTACTTCCAACTTCAGGAAGCCTATGCCACACTGTAGAAGAATCTATAAAAATCCCTTTATAGGTCTGTTCTAAGTTTATGGAGATTAATTAAGCTGTTTTGTAGCAATAACTTGTCAATATGGGGCTTTTTAGCCTCACTTTTAAAAAAAATTTGATACAACTAATCTTATTTTGTTGTGGACTTAAATGACTTTTGAAAAGCTTGATTTCCCCACATGGTACCAATAGGTACTATCATCAGCAATCACTGAGGTGGGCTCTTTAAAAGCCACCACTTTTGTACATTTCCTTGGAGTAATATATGTTCTCAAAGACCACAAAATTTAGGGACAGCTCGGTGGCACAGTGGATAGAGCACCAGCCCTGGATTCAGGAGGACCTGAGTTCAAAACTGACCTATGACACATAAAACTTACTAGCTGTGTGACCCTGGGCAAGTCACTTAATCCCATTGCCTAACCAAAAAAAAAAAAGAAGAACAAACACACAAAAAAAGACAGCTACACCATACCCACTCTTGGGGGCAGCTAGGTGGCACAGTCAATAAAGCACTGGCCCTGAAGTCAGGAGGACCTGAGTTCAAATCCCGCCTCAGACCAAACACTTGACACTTACTAGCCATGTGACCCTGGGCAAGTCACTTAACCCAATTGCCTAAAAAAGCAAAAAAAAAAAAGACCACAAAATTTAATAAAATACTTACAAGATAGCAATGAAACCTATTACATGGGTTTTTATGCCAATACACTATCATGGTTTCCTTGCTTGTCTGGCCATGCTTTTTAGTCTTCTTTTCTGGGTCATCATCTATGTCTCAACCTCTTTTCATAGTTATACCCTTGAGTTCATTCTTTGGCCCTCTTGTCTTTCTCAACTCCCTCTTGGTGAGCTCATCACCTTCCATGAGTTCAATTATTATCTCTATGCAAATAACTACCAAATCTATATATCCAACACTCATCTCTCCCTTGAGTTCCTTTCCTACAACTAACCACCTGATGGATATCTTCAAATTGATATCCCATAACACATCCAAAACAGATCTCATTATCTTTTCCCCTTTGTTCCTAACTTCCCTAATTTCATTGAGTGCACTATTATTCTTTTAGTCACTCAGGCTTGAAGCCTGAGTCATCCTTGACTATTTCACTCTCCCTCATGTACCTTCCCTCCTTGCCCATAAGTAATCAGATGCCAAAACCTGTCAATTCTGCCTCTATGACATCTCTCATATGCACTTTAACTCCACTCATGCCACTATCACTCTAGTTCAGACTCTCATCACCTCTCACTTGGATTTTTACCATGGTCCACTCATTGATATTCCAATCTTCAGTGAGTTCCCTCTCAGATTCATTTTTCATATTGCACTCAAAGTTATACTGTGAAAGTACAGTTTTGACCATGTCACTCACCTGCTCAAGAAGTTTCATTACCTCCCTCTTTCCTTTAAAATGCAAATTTACATAATATACTTTTGTTTTCCAATCCAATTGGTACTCAGCCAAATGCTCACCACCATACTTCTGTCCCACCGGTTTCAGTCAATCAATGAATCAATAAACATTTATTAACACCTATTGTGTGTGTCAGGCACTGTGCTTAGCACTGGGTAAAAAAAGTAAAAAGACAGTTCCTGCCTTC